ACGATGGTCGCGGACAACATTGCTGCTATGCATGAGATGCTGGAAGAGGACGCGAAAGTATGGTTAGGTAGGGAAAGCCATCGGGATTAATCCGCACCAACCTACATGAGAACCTCGGCTTCGAAAACCTTTGCGCAAGCGGGGTACCGCATCAGCTCAGTGAAGATCAGAAAGCAGCTCGGGTGAGTAGGTATCATACCACGCTTGCCAGGTTTGATAGGGAACGTTCCAATGCTGCTTGGGAGATCCTCAGTTGTGATGAGACCTGGTTGTACAGTTTGGACTCAGAGACCGAACAATAATCGGCTCAGTGAACGGCCGTCAGTGGGGCGCCGCCTCAGAAATCTCAGCGTGAGCGCAGTGTGTCAAAGCAAATGGTGACTGTGTTCGTGGACAAGACCGGTCATGCGGCTACTGTACTGCTCGTACGACAACGTACAGTCACTGGAGACTGGTATGCCACCCACTGTCTGCCGCAAGTGCTGGAAGCCGTAGCCAAGCGTTGTCCAAGGACTAGAGGACGAGGGAAGTTGTAGGACTATGACAAGGCACTTGCACACAGGTCCCATGTCGTCGTAGGTTTTCTGGATAGGCAATGCATCTAGGAGGTTGATCACCCACCCTACAGTCCAGATCTGGCTCCGTGTAACTTTTGGTGTTTCAAAGTGTCAAGCGCATGATGCGTGGAATACAGTACGAGTCTCCAGAAGCTGCAGTAGAGGCCTTTATTGAGCTGTTTGAAGGGTTACCCTCTTCGACATAAGCTAGGTGATTCTCCAAATGGCCTGAGCGCATGCAGTTGTGCATGAATGTTGGTGGAGAGTACTTCGAGAAAATGGAATGCTTAGTTTGTTGTAAAAAATAAAAGTATTTGTGCATCAGGAAACCTTTTGCTTTACCCTGGTACATGAAGAGAACACGCTTTCGAGCAAGTATATCGAAGTGGAAAGAGCAATGGGCTGAGTTGAATTCTTGTATCCAAGGAACAATTAGTGCCGATCTGCAGTAGGTGTGACGCTGTTCTAGCAAATGCCGAGGAGGTCTATGTAGCCAGTTCTGAAAAGGATACCTAATTTATTTTCGCTCATTAGGGGCTCACAGTCCACAATGAGGTGATGTACGAGGCCATCGCAATGAGAATAAATTTTATCGTGCGATGATGATTTGGGTGCCTCAATGATCCATCTAGAAGGTTACATGGTATGTATTCCGTTTAATGAGTTTGCAGATGTGCGCAAAGGTACTGGATCTTAGCGTGGTGCGATGGTTTGCGTATTCCCGTGACCCATTGAGCTACGTTGGGTGGCACTTTCCAAGTGCCTTCAGAGCCACTCATACCAGACAGCTCAATGGTTAGGGGTCAGAGTAACTTAGTCTCACAATCCAATCCTCTTCGGGGATTGGGGAGAAGCCGATGGCCCTCTTCCTTTAAAACCTAGCCACTGGAGGCAACAGGTCTACGAGTTATAAGCTCACAGCTCGATTGGCGTAGAGCACGAGCGCCACATACTTTCTCTGACGATGGGAGGGGACCATCCGGTGCTCAATGATTTGCTAATATCCACCTCAAGTCAGACAGCCCCTGGTCAAATTAGCACAAACCAGTCAACTCCCACCTGCGGCTGGCCGTGATCGCAAGCGCGTAAAATAATACGATGGTAAAACATATGTGCCTTGTTCTAAATCTTCATAGTTCAAGCTTCAAGAGGATCCCAATGGGTCGCTGCAATACCAATCCTGAGCTGGACGTGCTCCCCACTGCCTTGTGGGTCAGGCTATTGAGCCAAAAGCTCCAGGTGGAGTTCTTCAAGTGAAGGTCTATGTATCCCACTGCCTTGTGGTTTAGACTGTCGAGTCAAAGACGTACGATATATTAGTCAAAGGGTGGAAAATGGAAACTATCCTAACTGATTGGAGCAGCTCTGTTATTATGCCGATCTACAAAATGGATCCACGTTCGGAATATCGCAATCATAGAGGAATCAGCCTGATCTTCATCGCCCCTACCTTACTTACCATCACTGTTCATCACATATTGACAAACACTCGTGAAAGCCAGCCTCGTGAAGAGCATGCAGGGTTCCGTCGAAATCGAGGCTGCATTGACCATAATTTCACTCTACGGCAATTTTCGGAGCACTGCCACATATTTTGGCGACTCACCGCACCCGTGCCTTCGGTTCGCCGGATCGATATGTCCATTGGGATTGGCTACTTAAGAAAAGTGTGCCAAAGAAACACGTAAGCATGACCAGAACGCTCTACGCGCGTAACGGAGTGAGGGCTTATAGCAAACTGTCGCTGTAGCGGTGTGGGACAGGGATGCCCACCGTCCCCTTCCTGCTTAAGTGCGCCATGCGCATCAGCAGTACGCAGTACCAACGCTTCGCTGTCGCGCAACCACTGCCAGTCGCGCGTTGGCTAAGGACAGTGTGAGAGTCACCCGGTCCCCTACGCATGCTCGGACCGGGTTGTAGGACAGACGACTTGTCCTTAATGTTACCGGCTGGCACATGCCTCTCGGTGTTATTCCATCGAGTTTAAACTGGACATGGGTGCGTGGACGGAGCTGTGGGCGGTGCACCCATGGTCCCTCTGTAGGCGCAGGCGTCTTGTGGCTGTTCTATAGAGGCCGCATTGACAGATAAATCCGGAACCGGATGTCACCAACCATATCCAGGACATGGGTGTGTTAAGTCAATAAGTCAAAAAGAAAGAATTCGCGTAAAAATAGCTCACTGGAACTCCCGAAAGAACAGGCTGAAGTGGGAATCAATGACTTGCTTCCGTTTGATCTGAAAAAAATATGGACGGTACAACAGTAACTAGATTAAGTGGAGTAGAGTTGATAAATAGAAGCACAAACCAAGGCTGCACCAGCCCATGAAGCTACGGCAATTGAATCTGGCTAGGTAGGCAGGTGGACATGCCGTAGCACATTTTATCGATGTCAAATAGTTACTGTGAATGAGTATTATTGGTGGTCGCAACAAAGTCAGAGCAGATGATCAGTGAAAAATAAGTTGCTGGGCGTTCAATGAAGTCAAGGAAATTAGGAGATCTGTTGTTGAGGCAATACGGGGAGTGGTGGCACAGATCGTTGTAAAGCGGAGAAACAGAAAGCGGCGGGTTGTAGTGGGATGGGAGAGCATTGGAGCCAAATGCCACTAAGTTGATATGCAACGGAAACATCTGTGATGCCAGAAGCTGTCAACTCGCAAACTGGTGCTACGATAATTGGCAATCTGTCACTGTGGCTACTAACGGACGAGGGACACTTGCGACGAAAAAGTGACCACGCACGTGACTACTGCTGAACAGATGGATACCATAAATTATGTGTAGGCTATCGTATAGTCTCCCGAAAATCAAATCAGTCTGAGCAGCGACCAAACACGTTGTAAAACGCATGTTTATTCGTCAGGGCTAGAGCCCATCTAACCCAAGTAAAACCCAGGGTCTAAAGAACTTGGAGCTAAATGGAGCCATAGAAGTAGATCCGGACTTGTACTGTGCAACAGAAAAATACCCAACATCATGCTTCCAGTCGAGTGCATAAATGACTATAGGTGGGTATGTACGGAGCTGGAATGCTCCCACACGCCAAGCCCATGAAAATTGTGTTAGTTTTGTGGAGTAGACCATAGCTCATGTCGCCTGACCCACGAAGACACAACGTCTGGGAAGCATCAGTTTCGTATATAATCATACATTTCAGCATTTATCTTCCTTGCCGGTATGAAGGTAAATGCTGGTGACCGAGCGGATTAGGCACTTGCCTTGTAATCCTGAGATCATCGATTCTAATACGCGTAGGTGAGAGAGACCTCGCGATAAACCAAGCCAACACGAAACAGATGGTGGTCAGGTGGAGGCGAGGCGTCGATACAGTGTGCCGGCATACTGATGATGCCTCACTGAGTGTAGAACTTTGTCCAATACACCATAGTTGACCAGTATCGTGTGTTCTGCCATACAAAGGCACATAGTTTGGAGTCTGCAGGAAACTGACCTAACCCGAACCACCTATGAAACCACGACAACAGTGCACAAAAATGTAGTGGATTTACACCGACTTGTTCTGGCCACATACCGTTTGCTCAAATTCATTGGCTAACACGCGTTGGTCATCTGTGGTGCCTGATCGACGGTCACGTTGAATATGGCTCAAGCCAGCGCGGCCAATGCTTCCCTGCCAGTTCTCCGATGCCTGCTCGAATAGAGTTTGTGAATTGACGAAATGGTTGGAGGGGACTCACTGTTCTACTTCTCCGATGCCTGTTTGCCTTGTGCGGTTTAGTCAACACGAGTTGTCCGCACATGATTCGAATTCTATCTGCCTGCGCCAAGTCAATCACTTGCAACCAAACCATCACACAAGTTACAGAGAACACGATCAGAGGTGTGCGGGGATGGAATTAGGATTATTAAAGAGCAGATCTACGCCACCTCAGCAGACACCAATCGACATGACAATATTCAAAGATAATATAATCACATTTAGTTATATACAGCCACGCACGTAAGGCTTAGGATGGAACACACACATCACCGAACATGACGGTTCACAACTATATGGAAAGTGCCGAACGCTTACTCGAAGTTGGGCTATCAAGTGTAAACAATTGGCCCGCACAAGATGTGCCTTGATTGACTGATTCACTGCCAAAAGTGAAATTGGAACGCGCCCCTGTAATAAAGTGGACAAGAACGTAGGGAGCTAAGTACTTGAAGAGTGCAGTCGAGATGAAATATGAGGCGGACAGATTAGACAACTACCACAAGAAACCACAAAATTTGTTATCGGGTTTCGGGAGAATTCGCCGTGTGTCTGGATTGCGACATGCAATCTCAGTGAAGATATGCTGACTTGTGGGGCGGCAATCGAAATAGAACAGTTCAATGTTGCTATCTCCAATGATGGCACCACACAGACGGTTTCAACGGAACAAACGATAAAATTACGGGGGAGGTTGTGTGTGTTACACTAAAGTGAAACGCGCATCTGTGCGCTCACCATATTATCCACGTTAACACAAAAGTATATTCGCCTACCCCGAGTTCGTGGGTGTTGGTAAGCACAATGTTTGTTTGCGTCCTGTCGTCACTTGATGAGTACAAATTAAATCAAATAATGCAGATGGTATAATGCATAGTCGAGTCGTTTGAAAAAGGGTAAAATTGGCGCAGAATTGGGATGAGTCAGAAGTGTCCTGTGGCCGACAAATTTCGAGATAAACATAATTCCGGCGGCATTCCAGCCGATTGTATTATGTGGCTAGTTTCAGCTGGTGACCCTTCAGTTTTGTGCTGCGGCTTAGTTTCAAGTGACAGCAAACGTGAATAGGGTCTATCAAAATCTGATAGGTCAAGATGAGGTCACTCCGTAGCTTCCACGCTACATTTGTAATTGGTATGGTAGGCGCAGCAAACTCTTCGCTGTGGAGTCCCCAGTGCAGTAACATCACGTTATGGACTGAATTTGTACTCAAGGTGGGGTCTTACGTATGCGTTGAACATTGGCAAGAAGATGGAAATGCCGAATTGCCCGAAAGTATGATAGTTTCCGGTTTGCGACGTTCTCAAGGACTGCTCCGAACAGTCGAGGTCGTCTTGAATAACTATTTCAAAGTCACGTTCCTGTGAGACGGTCTTCAAAATGTGGTACCTAAGATTATATGTGTTAGTCGGCTTGTGGCGTAAATCCATAGTTTTACATTTGTTCAAGTTGAACGAAAGTGCATTTGCCTTTGGGCATTCAAAAGCACGGAGCAGATCCCATTGAGGTAGATGGTGATCCAACTGATTATCGATAGCTCACCATAAGTTCATGCCATCGGTAAAAAATAAGAAACTTAACCCGATGACTTATGCGAGGTCGTTAATGAAGATCATAAATAAACGTGGCCCAAACACCGATCCCTGTGGAACACCGCAATTCACCACAACAGAATCGGACAATGAGCCCCGAACCCGAACCTGCTGCCGCCGCTAATGAAGGAAATTTATGATCTATCTTAGGAAAGGGTTCCGAATTTTGCAAGTTGGCAGCTTATGGGGAAGTATTTGGTGATGTTAGCGACCGAAGACTTTAGAAAAGTCAAGACAGACGAGACCACTACTGGTCCCACTATCCGCTTTTTCGGTTCAATTGAAACGCGCAATCATTAGGTTGGTTGTATATTATCCATGTTGACGGAGATCATGTCGCTGCGGCATTATGATGTTAGACCGTCACAAATAGTGCCTCAGTTGTGGTCGACTCCTTCACCTGTGAGAGCGCTGAGAGGTGAATGATTGAGCGATAAATGGCGGGCTCCAAAGGTTATCACCGGTAAAATTCGGGATAGTACAACGCTACCACACATTAGGAACCTGCTGTTCATCCAGGTATCTTTGAAGGAATGGGGGTTAATGGCTCAGCTATCCTCGCAGCTGCCACCTGCAGTGCTTTCTGGTGAATGTTGTCAACACCGGTGGAACTATGGGTGCACTACAATGGGATCTTCCTCATAATAGTCGCTGAAATGAGACATGTGTGCAAATACTGGCGTCTGTGGGAACTTATGTGGCACATGCTGGTGGCGCGTCGGAATATTGAAGCATATTGGAGCAGTAGAACGCTGGCTGCATTCTCGGCGGTTGAGTACATCAATTTACTGTGATGAGTGGGTAAACACCACGCTTCACATTCGGGGAGCTGTTCACATGTTTGTACAGAAGCTTGTTGTTAGCACAAAACCTTTCCGCTAGGCTCTGCTGGTGTACTAATTTGTCCTCACGGACAAGTGTGGTAGTGTTTATGCCGCACCACATGGTTGCTCCAGATGTCAGGGTTGGTGTTCGCTCTGTATACATGTCATGATGTATTTCTTACAGCCATGCGTTTTCGGGTTCTGCTCTGAATGAATGAATGTGCTCTTGCAGAATGAAGGGGCCGGATTTCCGGTTAGGACTCAAGCAGACCAATGAACTTGCCAGCAAAATCCATCCAGGTAATATCAATGGAACAGCCATCCGAAAATTCCCCGATGACATCGCCACGAAGTTCTGTTAGTATATCGTAGTGTGTGATTGTTGGAAACAAGTATGTTCATATAGATAATTCGCAGAAAATACAGTCGTAAATATTGTTACGTGATCACTCCACCACAGAGTGCTCTCCATCTTTGGTTCCTCGATCATGAGCTCTACGTTTGTAAGCACTAAATCAAGTACTGGTGGTTTATTTCCCGCTCTGAATCTGGTGGGCGAACTGACATGGCTGATGAGCGGAATTCTTGCAGTAAGCTCTTACAGGTCCGCCTTGAATTGCTCGTTAGGGTACCCGAACCTCCAGATCGTGAACACTGAAGTCACCTGAGATGAGAACTTGGTTATATTGTTGTCGTAGGACCCATCCAAAGGCTAATGTCAGGTGGGAGTCCATCTCTGGGGTGGACATTGGGGGACGATAAACAACGCCACAAAAAAGTGTCGTCGCATCTCAGTCACAGAATGCACCAGATTGAGTCCATGGTGAGCGCTCCCGGATTGGCCACCGGTTCGCACTGCAGATCGCTGGGGTAGTATAACATTATCCTCCCACGCCCGTGCTAGGGTGATGGTTTCGGAGAAGGGACATAACATGTATCGTGATTGGTCGTCGGTAGTTTCCGAGTGCAACCAAGTTTCCGTTACGAATATTAGGTCCCAGGCGTATGATGATGCCAGGGATCCGTTGCTCATCTAACGTATGTATGTGTCTATCAGTTTCAACCAGATGAGTACTTGTATCCGAAATGTGGTCGGAACGTGGCAAAATTTGCTCCTGTCGTGTGTATGTCTAGGAGACGCCGCTTTGTTTCGTAGCTAAAAGATAGTCTGCTGCAATGAGCATATCAGCAATAAAAACGCCACTGATTATATCTGGTTGGATCGGAGTATCACAACCACAATCCTCGGTCCAGTTGAACAACAATGATCCGAGTACAAAAATGCGGTGCGTCCAGTTGGTACGACTCACAGCGCAAGAATATCACTAAATAACAACGGTAGGACAGTGGAGTTTGACGCAAATCGAATGTAGATAAAATAGAAGCAAGGAGGTGCGTTCGAGGAATCAGAACGAAACGAAAATTTAAAGCATCGTGTTCCCTGTATCAGTCTGAACAAAACAATGCGAAGACGAGCACTGCAAGATGGCACCATTTCGTGTTATCTGCTCACTTGCAAACTAACAATATATATAGCACGTACGGGAAGGAAACGGTCGTTTTGAACTGCGCAGAAAAAATGCACACAAACACAAAACAATAGCTGGTAGCGCTGGGGCAAAGGTCATGAACCCCAAGGAAGCTTAAGGGCCATTGTCAATAGCTTTTGCACACAAAGGGTGGGACGGTAACGATTTAGGGACACAGCCTTGGCAAGCTTCAGTACTCTGAAGTCTTAGTTTCGGCAGATAACCGTAAAAATTGACCCAGGGTCAACTTGATGACCTGTACTGATTAGGTGTCCAGCGATGGATGATGCCGGCAGCTTGTTTGCTGCTTCTTGTCCGGTTGCTTGTTGTGCCATCAGCCTAGCAATTCGCTTCGGAATGTGTTCTCCAATCCGCTTATTCAGACAACGATATTTACTGCCCACGTAACTGCTTCCGCAGGTACAGACGAATTGATAAATACGATGAAAATTAACAACTAGGAGCAAGAAACCGAATGTAGGAACGCCGCCGACTGCGACATGTGTGGTACAGTCTCCAAACATTGGTGTGGACCATCCCGAGGCCCCCATCCAAGAAGACGGCACACACCAGCCTGACCAAGCCTTTTAGTCAATCTCTTCATGCCACTAAGTCACGTCATGGACTAGCGGCCGCGCAGTATGGCAAAACCGGATGCAACCACGGCATATAATCCACGCAGAGGAAGCTGATCAATGGGCGTAGGGAGGACATGATCGAGCCATAGTAAATACCCGAGTGAGGCAACAACTGGCGGACCCCAGCACTGCTCACCCGGTGTTCCCACCAAACGTGAGCAATACTCCGCAAGCACCGGTGATCAAATACGGAGAAGCATTTAATGTTTTCATTGCGAATTGGCCATGTCTCCGATCCATACAGTAACATTGGCTTTATCACAGTCTTGTACATTCTCGGTTTCACTAACAAGCTGATATCCTGTCGTCTCCATAGACGGTTGAGTCTCTGAAAAGCCACACAGGCTTTGCAGATATGCTAAGTAACTTCCTCAGTGACGTAACCACCAGAGGTGACACAGCTACCAAGGTAAGTGATCCGATCCACCAGTTGCAGTGGTTGTTCGGTCATAGCTAAAACCGGTGTGCCAGCCCAGCCCAGCAAGCGTGTTTTGGACTTTGAAGGTGCAAAGTACATACCGAAGCATGCGGCGCTATGCGTGGGTTTACCCAGTAGTGTTTGCATAGCCAATGCATCAGACGCAAAAGATTACGCCGTCCCCATGCTCCAGGTCTGTTGGCCGATCGCCTGTCAAAACATCCACTCTGAATAGTCTGAATGAACCGAGTCACTCATGATCATTTCAATAACAAAGTTGAAGAGGAAAGAAGATATAGGAGAACGCTGACGAACCCCATATGTCGTGCTTAACTCAAGAGATAGTTTACCGTAGACCCAGTGCCCCAAACTGGCCCGGTCAACAGAATCGAAGACGACTTTCAAGTCAAGGAAAACCACCATTCTCCGTCGTCTATGTGTCACTGCACTAACACGTGGCGAAGAGTAAATATGTGGTCGATGCAACCACAGTCACGGCGAAAGCCAGCCTGGCTTTCGCTGATTCGGTTCTCATGGGGATAAGTCATCGAAGAATGATGCCTGTGAGAAGTTTGGAGGTAATGGAAATAAGGCTAATGCGTCAATGATTTTCGCAAAAGGTCAGTTGGACATTTTTGAAGATGAGCACGACAGTTGACAGTCCTCAGTCAGTGCCCCAAATCGTGTTAGATACAGAAGCAGGTCCAGTCAATACGGAGTCACCTCCATTTTTTAGCAAAGATGGAGGAAGGTCGAGTCCAGGAGCATTCCTTCCTTTCAACATGGAAAGATCATATCGAACCTTTTCCATAGAGTGAGGTGTGACAATAACTTCGCATGTCAGCTCAGGTGATTCGGCAAGCGGCAGTGTTGAAGTTGGCCTGCTGAAAAGCTCTTCAAAATGATCCGTCCAACCTGCTAACCGAGGATGGGTCAACTGTTCATCTTTCTCCGCTATTGCCTCGCTAACTGATGGCTTTCTCAGACCCGTGCTCTGGATGAATCGGAATATTACTCGGCTGTTCCCAACAGCGCTTGCTTTCTCTAACTCTCGGACCTCCGCCACCTAGCAAGGTTCCCAGTCAACTCGAAGAGTCCTTGTCAGACGTCGTTTCAAGGAGTTAAGGACACGATGGAACTCAGTGTCGATTGGAACCTGTTTCCATGCTTCGATCAAGCTGATCGATGCCTATGGCCATTCAAAGTTGAGACGTTTCAAGTCGGGTGCACAGCGAGCGTCAAAGGTATACTTCATGGCACATTTGAGACGACCACAGTCGGCTCACCAACCTCATTCATCGCTGACAATTGGCGGGCCAGTTCGTCGTGATATTATTGAACTACAGATTGCGAGTACAAGTAGGAAGGTTAGAAGATAAGCGCTTTTTTGAAGTGGGAAGAGTGAGCGCTAGGCGCGCGCGCACTTGATCATGGTCGGAATCTAGATATGTGCTCCAAACTGACCGACAATCTTAAAATGATGTGCGCCACCCGTAACTGATGGCAATATAGTCAATTTGGGTGTACATCAACGAAAAATGCGGGGGTGCCAGGTGACGCGGTGCGGAGGTTTGTGCTGGAAAACACTGCTGCTAATATAGAGGTTGTGGTCGGCGCAAAGTTGCTGGATGTGATCATCAATGTCTGTTTGGTGTGCATCGACTCCGGAGCGCCCTCCCAAGTGTCGTACAGAAACCGAAAAACCACCCACTTGGTCATTCATGTCACTAGCAACAATAACGATGTCAGTATGCTTCGGCATATGGAGAAGAGATGAAAGATGGTAGCAGAAATCAGCTTTGGTACCCTCCAAGCTGCAGTCAGTAGAAGCATAAATAGAGGAGATGAAAAGGCGCCTTACCTTCATATGGTGCTCATTAACCCCAAAAGAGATTCGAAGTTGAACCGCAAAAGTGCGGCTATTTATCGGTACCTCAGCATGTCTGCTGAGAGCGATAACAACACCGTAGATACCTTCAGCCACTGGCTTAGTATCACCAGAGACACGAAGAGCGTAGTCATCGTCGTCAGATTTCAAATCAGCGAGTAGTAGATTCATCACAACGCTGTTATCTTTTAAACTTGTTTCAGAAACTCAGCCCATATCAATACCAAAAGAGTGAAGAGTGAGTGCTGCCTGCTGGCCGATCTGACCTAGGGTGCGGAAGTTAAAGGAACCAATGTGAAATGAAAGGCTAGGTTTGATGGACGAGTCACAAGTATCGTTGGCAGCAGCTGTGAGAACAGTGGCAGTCTCTTGCTCAATAGTGGGGGAAGAGATGGGAGAACCAAGAGAAAAACAATAAGAGGGAGTATTGTCGACGTTGTCGTGAGGATGGATGATACTCACTGGCTGCGCAGTCCGATGGCAGGGGTTTTGTTCGAGGTGTTCTGCCTCTAGTTCTTGACTCAACAGTCTAACGCAAAAGGCAGTGGAGAGCAAGTGCAGCTCGGAAGTGTGATTGCACGGACCGATTAAGATCTGCTCGAGGCCTCTCACACAGAGCCTCTGAAGATTAAGAACAATGCACACGAGTTTTACGACTGTAATACATTACGCACGTGGGACGACGGTCAAGCGCAGGTGGAGGTTGGCGGGTTTGCACTAATATGACCAGGGGCTGACTGACTTGAGGCGAGCGATAGCAAACCATTGAGCCCCGTCAAAAACAATGCGTGGCGTTTGTACTCTAGGCCAATTGAGCACATCCTCTGTAGCTAAGCGATCTACGTAGCCTCCAGATAACCCCGCGCTAAGACGTTTGCCAGGGACAGGGTCTCGCGAAGGTGGCACCACTGCTCCTGGACGTGGGTAGTCGTTTCCAGTTCATGATGCCTTCTAGCCTAGGGGACACCGAGTACAATATGGTCTTGATTTGGACCCATCAAAAAGAGATAACTGTACCTGAGAATGATACACAGCAAATAATGGTTGAAGTTGTAGTTTTAATCACTAGGCCATTGAGCTCAGCGATCAACGATAGACACAACGATAAAGATTTCAGTGTTGGGTTTTGGAACGGCCGAGTTACTAGAAAATCCAATCACAATAGCAAAAAGTGTAGAGAAAGTGTGGAAGAATGGTGTGCAAAAGGCATGCTGATCAGAAAGCGTACGTGGCAGTAAGCATTGAGAGAAAATGAATACATCTCACTACAGAGTTCGCAGGGACTGGAACCCCGAGAAGACTGGCCATTAGCGGGCACAAGTCGGCCTGTTCGATTTCCCTGCGTACGCGTCCGTGATTGTGCAAGGGAATGCCATACTTATCCGTGTCAGGCACAGACGGAAACGGCGGTTCTAGAGCCACAGGGCCCCTTATGCCAGCGCCCCAAGCGAGGAGAGGAGTTACAGTTTCGTGCAAGGAACCTGCTCCGTGGCTACCTGAGATGAAAAAATGGATCCAATAAACGCGGAGTGTTAGCAAAAAATCATATATGAAAAGAATGCCACACACTGAGAAAAGGTCTTTGTACAGAGATTGCACAGACATGATTCTAGTGTGCGCTACTTATAAGTCAAGCAAGTCACGTAAAGAACAACAGCAGCTGCTGAGCCATAAATCAACCATTTGAACTGATGCCTCGCTGTCATACGAGTATACTGAAGGCAGAATAATAAGTGGGAGAGAAGATTATGGTGTACGTAAGCAGAAAACAATCGTAATCAGAGTGACAATGTAGGTTGACCAAATGTGTAGCTAACGCTGATACATTTGGGAATGAACGATTGAGAACGACCAGTCGTGAATGTGTGCCTGTGATGCGAAAACGTAGCACGGAGTGTTTAAGCGTGTAAGCTAAATACATAAAGGGGAACCTAGTGGAAAACGTCGGTATCCCGAGCGAACATTTAGAGTCAAGACGCCTAGAGTTTGCCAACAACATACTATCACAAGCAGCTGGCTATCGTGCAAAAAGGTGGCATCGACGAAACAGTTTCCTTGAGGGCTTCCACTGCCCCGCGTCATAATCAGCCATTATCACGCAGTCAATTCAGCACCAACACACCAACACACACACGCATCGACACACTTTAAGCAGGCAATAAGACTAGGAGACGACAGCAGGCCTACCACTGGTGCCAACTGCGAGTTATATCCCGTAACGAGTCAAGCGAAAGGAGATTCGCGTCGACTCCAGTCTGGAAGGCGAAACGGACCAACAGCAACTAGCGTTGTAGTCAGTGACTTCATTTCCCGCTGCCAAGTTTAATTTTATCCACCTTGGGCTTTGCGCCACCATACACCCGACAGACAAGATAACGCCCTCCTCGGTAAGCGGCGACTGGGCAAACGTAGTACTTATACAAGCCAACAAAATTTATTCAGTGACATTTGTTGTTCCAAGGAACTGGACTGGTGATTATCGCTTCGAACCCGCCTATGCATACCGACGTTGCAGACACGCTGTACCATCCGACATCAGCAGTGCTAAGTAGGCGGCGATGAGCAAAGACTCGACGGGGACTCGGATCCTCAGATCGAATGGGCCAAGTCCAAGTATCAGAGAGTGGGACGGCACTCAAGGTGGCCTTATACACATGGCATTTCCTACAGAGGGAAATTCTCTTCAGGCGCCACAGACATCACCGTTCTAGATTTCGCAATATGTGAACTACAGTGGTTATGCGTCCATACTTTCTGATGCAGCAGCCAAGGTAAGTGAGTTGATCATCAATCACGTTCCTAGTTGTCATCAAGCGGATATCAAGTTGTTGGTGGTTCTACATCAACACTGTTATGGCGGATCGATATCTTTCGGGCGGGATCAACTTCCCACTCCAAGTAAGATTGATTGACCGGATTTCAAACCAGCGTCCGCGATGTGTCTACCGTAAACTGCCACACATTGGGCGCCTTGAGAAAACCCCGAGGAATTCTAACGGCAGTCCGGAGATTCAATCGGATCTCACACGATGCACTACGCACACAATGGCGGCGTCTGCGTACCCCAAAATTGCATGGCGCTGCACGCGATGAGGCGCAGACTACGAATAATTGAACGATCAATACATTCCGGTCAGTGTTTGAGGGCAGAATGTTTCACGGCAACATTCTTGTCGCTCACCAGTGGGTCGCTGTCTCAGCAATGGAACACCAGTTAACACTCCCGTCGGTGACCGAAATGCCGCAGCGTGCCTGAAGCTCAGCGCGTTCAAATTATGCAGCTGTATGGCCAATGTGACTTAAACGCCGCCAAAACAGCTCGGATATAACACTCGAAACGCTGCAAAGCGACCCGTCAGTGGCCGTTACGTGCTTCAATTGGTGAATAAATTCCATAAAACTGGTAGAGTGCGACGTCAGAAAACCTGGGCGACCTTGTACTAGCACTGTAGATTTTGCAGCATGCACCGTTACACATGAAGTATCTGAGAGGCCAGATCTCATGGATTGGCGGCATCAGTATACGGATATGCCTGCTACCGTGGCCTCCATCGGGACAGCCACAGGACGTCTGCACCTACAGAGGGACCATGGGTGGATTGCGCTGCACCACCCACAGCTCCAATCATACACTCTATATCCAGTGAAAACCCGAAGAAATAAAACCGGGTGACATGCAGATGGGAGCCACGTTTCATCAACGGAGCCGGCCCACACACCTTCACAGGCAAACACAAGCACGCTGTATTTTGGAATCAAGCGCATACAACAAGGTGGCTGAACCGTAGTCCGCTCCACTGTGTGCATGGAACTACTCTTTGATCATAACACGGCCAATATGACACTGCATCCCGTCCCCTCCAGCAACGAACAAGAGACTCCTGGAGCCAGTATGGACAAGGTAGTGTATAATGGACAGATAGGCACCTTGACAGCAGGTACATCACGGGCAGCCACCCCGAGGATGTCAAACAACAACCAATTACTCGAAATGACATTACCAAATAAAATAATTTGTTTAAGCATACGACTATGCTCACATAACTCTTCGCTAAATTAGCATATGAAGTAATTTGCTACGAATGCGCGATAAATGACACAAAAGCAATGAAGTCAACGAAGTTAAGCGCAATTAGCTTAAGCAACGTGGCTAGTTAATAGATTATTCGGGTAGGCTGAAAAAAAATAGTGGAATGAAATTTATCGAGCTTGAAAAGACCTGGTTAAAGTGTGAGTTGGTTTAACCCAAATGTGGTGAAGAAGCAACACGAATGCAACATCAGCTTCAGCATGGGGCACACATACATATATCTGTTAAGGCATACGGTTAGGCTGACATAAATCTTCGCTAAATTAGCATATGGTATAGGTAGAAATTCGGTACATCTAGACTCACTCAGACAGCCGTCACATGCCTGGAAAAGCACTGTACGCGCATTTCATCCTTTCGGGAATCGTCAGCAGTGCGCATTCCATCGGATCCTAGTACGGCTCGAACCCGCAACTCGACTGTTGCCAGTCCGTGGTTAGGACCACTGAGCTACGGGGGACGGTAACGACGATCGTGAAATAGTTACTACATGTGATATAGCGTCGCTCACTATCCACTGACTTACACGTTACTGTCGTGCAGAGGACAGGGTAGCCCCCCCACCAAGCGACGAGCTTAACAAACACTTAAGTCGCCAAGTAACTTATGGCATTATAAGCAGTTTGGTCTGCGTACCGATTACAGATGAGTAGTGAGCGGCGCTATATCACATGTAGCAACTAATTCACGATCGTTGTTACCGTCCCCCGTAGCTCAGTGGTCTTAACCACGGACTGGCAACAGTCCAGTTGCGGGTTCGAGCCCTACTAGGATCCGATGGAGTGCGCACTGCTGACGATTCCCGAAAGGAAGAAATGCGCGTACAGTGCTTTTCCGAGCGTGTGACGGCTGTCTGAGTGAATCTAGATGTGACGAATTTCTACTTATATCATAAAACTGCTCCTCTGAAATTAGCATATCAAGTAAGTTGATTAGCTACGCATGCGCTCTAAGTACAAAACATTCAGAAAATATTCAGAAAGACCACAAACGCGATAAATGAAGATAAGCACAATTAAAGAAAGCAAAGTGTGCAATAGAAAATTATACATGTAAGCAGAACAAACTAAATAAAGTGAAATGAAATTTATCCACCTTAAAAAGACCTAGTTTAAGTGGAAGCTGATTTAACCCAACTGCAGTGAAGAAGCATCATGAATGCAACATCAGCCACAGAATGGGGCACATATATGGTTGGCGGCATCCGGTGTCGGATTTGCCTGTCACATTGGCCAGCCACAGGACGCCTGCGCCTACGGAGCGCCAATGAGTAGCTTGCGGTACATCACTCACAGCTCTAAGCACACACCCTATATCCAGTGAAAAGCCGAAGGAATAAGATCGGGAGGCACGTGGATAGGAGCCACGTTACATCAACGGAGACGACCCACACTCCTTCACAGGCAAACACAAGCACGCTGTAGTTGGGAATCAAGCGCATACAACGCGGTGAATGGACCATAGTCCGCTCCACACTGAGTGCATGGAACTACACGTTGATCCTAACACGTCCACAATGATCGTGAACTTCGTCCCCTCCAGCAAAGACCAACTGCCTCCTGGAGGCAGTATGGACGAGGTAGTGAATAATAGACAGGTAGACACCTTGTCAACCTGCACATCAAGCGCAGCCACAACGGAGATATCAAACAACAGCCAACCAAGAACAAAATCTTGCGAAGAGTACTCTTTTCGACAAATCTCCTCAGACATTTAAGATTATAAAATGAAAGGGCATCACACAAATGGCTGATGAAGCCAAAAAGTTGGGAATAGTGAAATCAAAACAATCAGAAGCACAAAAGTCTTGATCAATTCCTTTTAAAGGCGACGTTGCCTTTGATCTGCTGACCAGAAGAATTTCCAGGGCAGTGGCTCGAACCTTCCCGGCCGCATGTCCACACGTCCTTGCATTAAAGACAGACTTCCGATTCAGTCATAATCTTATATCAGTTTACCTGTGCCTGTGGTGCGAGGTACGTGAGACACAACCAGGCGTCTGTCCAAACGCATTGCAGAAAGGCATCGTCAGTCGCCCCAACAGTTCCATCCTGGAACATCTGGTGGAAAGCAGACACCGAATTAGGACCGCCGATGCCTTCCAAGTATTTTATGTAGTATAGCCACGGTACTTTGGAAACAAATCTTACGGACGGCCGAAGCGATCGCGATTAGAATAATTCAATCGGAATTATGCAAACAGAAGGCTTTGCTGCAAGGGCTTCTTCTCTCTTGGCCCTAGTTAGCTTACCAACTTTTATCACTCCGTGCGCCTACAGTGGTCGGATGATGCGCTTGGCATTCCACGGATCAACCAACACGTGTCCTGTCACACGTGTTGTTAATGGACTTTATTGATCAAGACTTTTGAGTTCCTGTTTGTCCTGATTCCACTATTCCCACCGC